GTCCCATAGCACTTAAAGCACTCTCTGGGTGATTTACAGTTTTATTATGCCAGCTAGACACTGCACTACCTGTTGAGATTTTGATATGAAAATGTATTAAATAATAATGTTTTATAGTTAAATGTAAAATGGCTGATTTTACCTGAGTCACTGTACTGATTGTATTCAGGTGTGGGTATCAAGGATTAAGACTTAATGTTGTACAGCTGTGTACGTGATGAAACTCTGTGTAACAGAAAATGAAGTAATGTATTTTCTGATTGGTCGCAGAACTGTATATAAGTTATGTGTAAAACGAACGTCTTTATCTGCTGTAAATCAGGTCACTTTTTCCTATGCTGTGTGTTGCTTCATGTCATGTTATGCTGCCAGAGGAAGGTCTATATATATATGTATATATTTCTCTATGTATATGTGTAAATAGACTAAGTTGCTGGTTTTACTCTCTCAGTGTCATAGTGTCATAAGTATCTCTGCTAACCAATATCTCCTTACTCTGCTGATGTTATGTGAACACATGCTATAATCAAAATTCTCAACACTACCATCCTCCCCAACAAGCTGCATACTGAACCTATAATCAAAATTCTCAACACTACCATCCCCCCCAACAAGCTGCATACTGAATTTACAAACCTTGGAAAGATGGAAGGCTGAATGAACCTCGAGCTGGTTACCTGGGATCGAACCCAGAGTGTTGGCTGCAATACAGTAGTCTAACCAATGCACCACTGAAATTTAGACTGTTGTGAACTTCCTGTTGTCAGAAAACCATCAGAAACAAACAAAGACTATCAACAAAAAAACACACAAAAGTTTGCTGTTTGCCCTTAACAGTTCCCACTTTCCTGTAGAGAATTCATACAGAAAATTCATACTTATCTGGCACTTTAATGTGAAGAAAATATTTCCCCAGCAAGACTTGTTCAGTATTTAACAAGAGAAAGAAAGGGTGTTTGAGGAGAAATGGTTTCTACATGGGAAGTGGACTTCAGGTGTGATAATCTTGAGATTTCAAGCTTCCACATTACCTACAATTACAACATCTTTTGGTCTGAGATACCTGTGGTGGTGGTGGTGGTAGTAGTAGTTTTGGTTGTTATGGGCTGTTGGTTGTTATGGTAGTATTTTTGAGGTATTTGGTACATACCTCCTGATACAGTTTTCTCTTGCACCAAAACTTGAACCAGAGGGTTTTCAAGCCTCCCTGGGCCTATTCTGGAATGCTGGGGGCAGGGAGGGGGAGGATGAGGAATGATCAGGATCTCCACTTCTTGCAGAAGATATGCATTGGATTTAGGCCATACTCTTTGTAAAGGGAGTGGAGAAGCAAGATGGGAGATCAGGAGACTTGCTGGAATATCAGCTGCCCATCCATAGGTACCACCTGGACAAGAAACAGGCTCTACATCACTTTGAACCCTTAACTATGTCAAAGTCTCTGCAATGAAATGTCTTGCATATCTCTTCTATAATAATAACTTCCAACTTTGTATTTATTTATAGGAGACGTGGTGGCGCTGCAGGCTAAACTGCAGAAGGCCCTGTGCTGCAAGGTCAGAAGACCAAGCAGTCATAAGATCGAATCCATGCGACAGAGTGAGCTCCCGTCGCTTTGTTCCAGCTCTGCAATGAAATGTCTTGCATATCTATTCTATAATAATAACTTCCAACTTTGTATTTATGTATGTATGGGAGATGTGATGGCGCTGCAGGCTAAACTGCAGAAGGCCCTGTGCTGCAAGGTCAGAAGACCAAGCAGTCATAAGATCGAATCCACGCGACAGAGTGAGCTCCCGTCGCATTGTCCCAGCTCCTCGCCAACCTAGCAGTTCGAAAGCATGCAAATGCGAGTAGATAAATAGGTACCACTTTGGTGGGAAGGTAAAACGATGTTCCCTAGTCATGCTGGCCACGTGACCATGGAAACTGTCTTCAGACAAGCGCTGGCTCTACGGCTTGAAAATGGGATGAGCACTGCCCCCTAGAGTCGGACACGACTGGACTAAAAATGTCAAGGGGAACCTTTACCTTTTTATGTCCTGTATATGCAAACTTTATTAAAATCTGTCCTCTTTTTTGCCATGTGTAAGTGGCCACCCGACTTGGAAACAGGGTTTGCTCTTCTGTACCATACTATATGCTGAAATTACCTAAAAATTATAAGAAATGACGGGATACCTACCCAGTGTAGTGGTGTAGCTAGAGTGACAGACAAGGAGATATAAGTAGTGGGTTTCAATCCAAGAAAATCCACAATGGCTGAAATCCTGTTGCTTAGCATCCTGTGTCACAACTAAGAGTAGGTCCACAGAATCAGTGGGGATTTGGCAAGTTAGCTGCTCTGTAGGTTCTGCTGATTCAATGGGCCTGCTCCAGTTGTTACTACACTAAATAGCAGGATGTTGTTCTTTTTCCTCTTCACTTCTGCCCACATACTGAGACAGATTGAAAAGGCTACTTACCGTATTTAAATGGCTGAAATCCTGTTGCTTAGCATCCTATGCCACAACTAAGAGTAGGTCCAACTAAGAGTGGGGATTTGGCAAGTCACCTCCTCTGTAGGTTCTGCTGATTCAATGGACCTGCTCTAGTTGTTACTACACTAAACAGCAGGATGTTGTTCTTTTTCCTTTTCACTTCTGCCCACATGCTGAGAGAGACTGAAAAGGCTACTTAATTTGCTTCTACTTGTTATGTTACTATTGACATGTAACTTCACAACACACTCATTTCCCAAAAAATAAATAGTCACAAGTCATGACAACCAAGCTCTGGTCAAAATTGCTACTTGGCAATTGCTATTTAGATTTACAAGTAACTTGCCTCACAGTTATATGGGCGAGATGGGAAATAAAAAGAGAAAGCGGATAAAATGAAGTGAAACAATTACACTATTGAAAGCATCCTTAAATCAAAGAAGGCCATACATAAAAACAGATTCTGTTACCCCTCGACAACCAGCGATTGCTATCAAGTATTGAAAAAGATCACATCCCAAGTAAGCATAAAAATAGAAAAGTCAAGGATCAGCTATGGGTCAACATGCTACAGGGTAAAGAGTGCCAGCCTGACTACATAATCACAGTGTTCCATGTCCTAAAGGAGAATAATTCAATCTGAACAATCATTCTGCAGCTTGACTTTCTTGTTCACATCACCAGCATAATGTCAAAATGCTGCTGCATTGCTGAACACATGATACAGCCACAGGTGTACAGTACAGAACTCATTCTGATTATAACATGCCTGGTTAAAGCGGACAACAAAACAAAGAAAGGAGAAGTTGTATTTTAATTCCCCAACTGTGCAAATCATTATTTAATTGTTGTAATTATGCCATTCATTATAGTTCCTTTCTGGAAACTGCACCCAGTCTTTCTTTAATCCCAGATATGCACAATTCTCTGGAATTCTAAAGAATAAGACCTTTTCCAATTAAGGGCTAGAGTAGTGGTTTCCAACCTTGGGGCTTCCAGATGTTCTTGGACTTCAACTCCCAGAAATCCTGGCCAGCAGAGCTAGTGGTGAAGAGCTTCTGGGAGTTTTACTCCAAGAACATATAGGCTGGGAGTGACTGTTCTAGAGGCTATGTGAGGTTCTAGTTCTGATAACACCACATTCCAGCCACACAACATGATCTGTAGAAATACCTAAGACTGTAATAGAAAGGGTTGTTCTTCTAGGTGCTGATGGCAAAGAGGGACATCTTGTTTCAACTGTATGAGCCGAACTGTATGAGGCTTGAAACAAATGGGACCTTGTCAACACAACGGCAAGCACAGAAGGCCTGATCCAGACTAAAAGTGGGAGGTGGGAGTCTTAACACACCTTTTCCTTACCCTGAGGTCCCAAAATGAACCAGATATTTCTGTAGCATTGAAACATGTAAATTAAATTAGCTGCTATATAAACTAGTGCTTTCTTCAATCTATTTTGGATCTTCTGCCCTTGAGTTTTATTAGTTGATTCCAAATTCTAGCATTAAATGGGAGTGCAAGGGGGAAAAATCCCTGTGTACTCCATCACTGCTGTGCATTGACATCTGACTTCAAAAGAAGCAGTCCTTTGCAACTCTTAGCCTATCTTATCTCTCACATTTCCATTTTTCATAGTTTTATTCTCTTTGCAAATTGCTCAAACTGCAAAACATATCAATATGATTGAAAGATGCTGCACAAAAGTTAAAACAAACTTTGTACAACTGACAATTTTTTTAAAAAGTTGTTGTTAAGTTGTCTTCATATTTAGTAGAGCTGCACTAGAATGGAGAGAGTACCATGTTGCTCTATGCAACTACTATGGAACAGAACCTATGCCCAAAAACTAATATGTTCATGTTCAGAATTTATTTCCTTTATTTCCTTTATTTCAAAGCCAAGCCATAGAGCCAGCGTTTGCCTGAAGACAATCTTCCGTGGTCACATGGCCAGTGCAACTTAGACACGGAACGCTGTTACCTTCCCACCGAGGTGGTCCCTATTGGTCTACTTGCATTTGCATGCTTTCGAACCGCTAGGTTGGCGGGAGCTGGGACAAGCGATGGGAGCTCACTCCGTTGCGTGGATTCGATCTTATGACTGCTTGGTCTTCTGTTACGACTGCTTGGTCTTCTGGAACAGAACCTATGCCCAAAAACTAACATGTTCATGTTCAGAATTTAAATATTTCCTTTATTTCAAAATACTATTTCATGATTGGTAGCTACTTTGGCAAGATTCTTGTTGTGGAAAATGGCAGACAGAAATCCTTTAAATAAAATAAATAGAAGCAAAGATTGAGTTACCCATTTCCTCTCTTTACAGAGCATCATCATAACTGTAGAGATCTGCAGTATTGTTCTTTATTTAAGCATAATGAATTATGTCATGCAGCAAGCGATGTTAAGAAACAAACAAAAATATCAGAAAATTATCCCCATATCCGCAAGTGCATGTAGCAATGAGGAACCAACATTCATCAGCGTTTCCTACAGAAATAGTAATTGACAAATAACTCACCCATGGGGATATCAATCTAAGATGACTTAATGTTTCCTGACATTTTCAAGAGAGGATTTGACTGCTTGAGAAAGAGAGAGACACTGAGGCCATTCCTGAGACTTATAAACTCCTTTTTAATGAAGCATCTGCAAAATGCAAAATACTAAAATTACAAATAAAAAGTTTTTAAAAAATTACATCTCTCAACTACAGATGTAAAGCGTACTCCCAACATTTCTCTTTCTCTATAGTTTCCAAGTCTTGCCATGCTGAGATTCCCAGACAAGCCTTTTCTCTAACTCAGTAAGATTTCCCAGTTTCCTGAAAAACGAAAGCCTAGTGTCAAGTTTGCACCCATCTCTTCGTAACACTGAAATAAATCTGTTAGTGTTCAAGGTTGCCATAAGGCTGTTGTTTTTCTTTTACATAACATTTCAACCTTTCCTACCTTACAACAGCTAAAGTCGAAAATACCACTGAGCAGTACAGATTGTTCTCTGATACTGTACTTAAATGAGGAAGTGGATATTGGATGGAGTTTGTATCTGAGACAGCACTTGAATCCAGGAATAAATGCTCTGTTTGTAGGCAATCAGTAAGAAGTAAGGAGCTTAACATCACAAGATGACCACTGCAGAACAGGCACACACCACCAGTTGTGGTGGAAGAAGGAGGGGGGGGGAGAAAGGATGTTGTTTATATTTGGGAAACTAACATTGTAGGTTTTAAGGGGCAAAACCACACCTTTTTAAGAGTACAATCCCCAGAATCCCTCCTGTTGGCTGGGCGATTCTGAAAACTGCAGTTTAAAAAAGGAATTTGGTTACTTCATCTCTCACTAACTACAGTTGAGAATAAGTCAACATTGTTGAACTTACTTATTATACAGAACGAGGCCCTCAACCTTTTGCTCCAAAGTCCTGTTCTTATGGCATGGTTGCAGCCCTCTGTGTTTCTTAGCACACCATCTCTGGTCTCTGGGAAATGTGTTAACGGTGGTGCTTCAGCTACTCCTCAACCCCTCCAGGATCCAAAAACCTCCCACATGGGAACTGCTATTCCTCACATTCCTGCTACCAAAAGAAAAAAGTGCATAATATCGTTGTCATGTCTGCCACTTTTTCTCATAAACATGGAAACGGCTGGTCCCTGTGTGCTAATAGTTATGCATACACTTCTATATTTAACTTGTAGCAGAATGCAACTCTCCCATGTCTGGAATGCATCTGTGTCTGGGATAAACACCAGCAGAAATGCCAGAATTGCAATATACATTCTTTGGACAAGGGAAACTCCCTATAAGAAACCACACAGAGAGAATGTAGGAAGGAGGAAAACTGCCAGTGCAACAGAAACACAAATGGGGAATCTGCAACTGGTCCCAAAGATTGTAGCCTTAGCAAAGTTCCAAAAAGTCAGCAAAGTAAGCATGAAGAAATGAGGGTCTTGATTTTCCAATTATGTGTTGAAAGGCGACACCTTAGGCAATGCAGCCAGAATGGATGAATGAGGAAGTTAAGAGTCTGGTTTGTTTGTTTGCTTGTTTGTTTTTAAATAAAATTCAACATAATCTTCTGTGGCGGGCATGTGACAAGTCTCCTATTGATTCAGAAGGAAGGTTGCCACCTGCTGGCCCATGATTGCTATTTCCTGCCACCCTCAAGCAGTTTGTAAGGCTAGCCTGCAATAAACATGATTTTCAGGAAAACAACTAAAAAAATAGATGGTGCCTCTTTCATCATCATGTTACTACTTTTCCCAGCATGAGAAAGCTACCAGCTTTGGAAAAAAGGAGCCCTTTATTTTCACACACCTTCACAAATACTAGCCCTTTGCTGCCATTGCTATGGAGCTCTAAGTCAAGGAAATGGGGGCAGGGGCTCTGTTGGGTTTCCCATGGTTCCCAAACTTCAAAAGTCAGAAGAACACAATTCTCAGCTCTGCACAGCTTCTTCTTTCTCATGCAGTTCACTCTGAACGAGAAATTCCTTTAAAAGCTTGAATATTTCAGTCCAAATTAACATCGGCTGAGGAGCAGAGATGACAACTGATAATTAACAGGATCAGAAGAGGTTTGGAGGGAGGATTAAAAACTTGCCTATGCTGCTGTAGCCCTGAGGAAGACCGTCCCTCTGCATACTTATAGGGAAGGATTAAATTCCTCCCCAGTATCTGCTTTCCCTAGAGTAGATTCTCTCAATTTTTCCATAGAAATAATAAGAAACTGAAATATTAGCATGAAGAGGTATAACATGACTATCCATCGTGTGTAGTTTAATCACTGATGACAAAAAAAGGAGGGACAGGCTACTGCTAAGTACTTTTCACTTTCTCTCAATGCAGACACAGCCTAATTCTGTATTAATCCCTCTGGAGAATCCAGGAACCTAAGTCTTCTGCATTTGAAAACAGCAACCAGAGAAAACAATGGACTGGTCATTCTATATAACTGGGCTTTTAAAAAACTTATCATTTAATTTAATTTCCTGAAAATGATGCTGAGACATTACTAGTTAAGAGGAGGAGCTCAAATCTCTATTCAGCCATGGAAACTCTGGGTGGAGGGAGTTACTCCCTAAATATATTGTGCACAACCCCTGAAAACTCTCAAAGGTTGCTACCAGTTGCATGCAATGTGACAGCATGTAATAAGTAGGCACCTGCCTTTTGCACAAAGAAAAAAAACATGAAAAAAAGTTTTTTACCCTTTATGTGGTCTTTTGTGGACTCCTGAAATGAAGTTTCTAAAAGGCAAATGGTTTGTTTAAATGAAAGAGGGGTACCCCAAAGTTGCAAGGGCTGCTCTCAACGGCCAATCAGAATGACTAGGAGCAGAGGAGTGGCGACTTTGAACCTGTAAAAAGGGCCAGGATTGGTTGGAACCAGTGAGGGGAGTGCTTTTCTTCAGTGGTTCTTGTGGAAATCTGTGTGATGATTCCTATTGCCCTCCATTTTGTATTGTGCTGCCTGGCTTGCCTGCCTGCCAAAACTCAGAAGAAAAGGCAAAAGAAAAAAGGAAAAAAGAAAAAAGAAAAAGAAAAAAGTGGGGAAATAAATCATTTTGGTTCGGAAGGGCGCTTTGATTCCATTGGGGTTTTTTTTTGCCTTTATTTGAGTACTTGCTTTTTTTCTTTTTGGGACAGGAGAGCTATATGTGTGTGTTTTATTTTCCAAGTTTTTATCCTGTGAGGGGTGTTATTTATCCTGTGAAAAGTATATATTTTGGTATGTGTTTGGGTAATGATTTTTCTTTCTGCTGCCTGCTTTGGGGTACAGTATATTTATTCTCTCTTGCCTTGCCTTAGCTTTTTGGATTAGTTTTTAAGGGTTCTGTAGCACTTAATTTGGACTAGTGCCAGTAAATCCAAAACATAAGAACCTGAAAAAGTTTATCTCTCTTTGTCTTGAAAAATAGGACCAGCATGCTAAAAATACAAAGGCACAAGAAGATGAAAGGTGTACTAAAAAAAACCAACCCAAAATGAGCGAAATACATTTTCACAAATGCTTAATAACAACACAATAGGAAGAAACTAAATACTCCTTTATCTTTTTGAAAATGCTAGCACAATGAGCATACTTTCTAATTCACAAATTTGTATCCTGCAAACACAATATACAAATAAAGATGTATTTCTAGCATTTTGGCCAATGGACTGTATGTATCGCAATGATATCTTAAGCTAAGACATTTCTAACCTGTTTTAGAGAACGCTACATTGTACACAAGGTTTGTTTCATACAGAAGATTTTCATCCATTTAATTAAAGCAGTGATGATTTGTAGGAGATATATAGGAGTTCGTTATCTCTTGCCTTTTTAAAAAAAGTATCCAAAATAATCATAAGTGGACGTGGACATTTTTAAAATAAAGGTCTATGCTATTAAGTCTGGTGTAAAATCTTTAGACTGATCAAAGTGGTGGAGAGAAATTTATTTGGCCCACATTTTTAATGAGAATACATCTAATGCATATTTTATATGCCAATATGCAAATGAATGTCAATATTCATGCTTTTCCAAATTTTGTTGTGTGTCAAGAAGTGTGTATATTACAGGAAAGCTGCAAAAATGCATTTGTCAGGAAAGATAACTCATTAAAGTGAATTACATGCGGCAGCTCAGAAAGTACCGGTAACTTTTTTTAGGCTACAAGTCCTGAACTCCCCCACCTAGATGGCTACTAGGAACTTTTGCAAGTTTCCAGACTGACACATAACTGTACACAAACAGTGTCTTAATACCGAAGTGCCAACATAAAAGATTTGTGTACTGTATTTACATACAGAAGCATTGTAAACCACTGCCAAAACAAATGTAAAGTTCTGAAAACCGAGAAACACAGTAAACCCCAAAACTGACAGAAGTACTTCCGGCCCCATAAGCCATTGTTTTGGTCCTGAAGCACTCTGGAATTGTAATGAAGAATAAAATAGATCCACTCAACCTGAAGTGTGTCTACCTCTACCCAAAGGAGCACTGAATTCCATCTTCAACCCACACAAAGTCCCTTCCTTTGCGGGAACTATAAGAAAAAGAGCAAAACAGAACAGGATTTTCCAGTGGCTGCTCCTCTGCACTTTCAAGCTACCCACTCATTTTGCACATGAAACTGACGTTTAGCTGACAACGCGGACAGCATTTTCTAGACAGGCAGCCTCCAGCCTACTGTCTGTGTTGGCAAGAGTGCAAGAAAAATAAGGAGAATTGGGTCCATTCCCTAACCTGATCAGGGTGAAGAGAAAAAGGATAATTTTTTCCCCACCACACAGAAGTGTCTTTCCCCACTTCAGACATTTGATATGAACAGTTTTGAAGGCCAGGCCCCACTGTCCATTGTATTGAGGAGTTTTGGAAGCCAGCTGCTGCCCCTTGACTATGAAAATCCTGGCACTCAGGCTACCTGAGATATAGATCCTTTCTGGAGTTCATCCAAGCCTCCTTCCGACATCTGCCCTGCGGTTGCAACACACCCTGATTTTGGAACTACCGGGAACTTCTGCAGCAGCAGATGGACAAACCCCTGCACTTAAAGGGCTTCAGTGTATATACTGCAATATATTGATACTTTGCCATAACAACTGATGTTAAATATTTAATTTGATGAGATTTCCGGTTCTTAGTGCTAATCCATTTCATTT